GTCTTTTGCCAACCGAAGTGTCCCTCAGTRTCATGACATTCCCCTAGAATCAGACTACGAATCTCTTCGCTGTTGGGAACCCACATGCGGTCAAACACATTAGTCTTCACAAACAGCAACCCGTCTGTAGTGCGGTAATCTGGTTCGGTCTCTGGGGCCTCTCTAACTCTCTTTAGGAGGTCGCTATAGATAGGGTCCTGCATATATGCTTGTTTCACTTTCTCCTGCAGGTCTCTCCCTATATCCAGATAATGTACTACGGCTCCAAAGTAGTCTGATCTCCTACTCAGAGCATCCGCAACTACATTGTATTTGCCCTTTACTGGCTTGAGCTCAAAGTCGAATTGGTCTATCTTTGCGGCCCACCTAGTCAACTTAGGTGTCATCTTGGCCTGKGTCTTTAGCCAACTAAGTGTCTCATGGTCAGAATACACTTTGAAGTGYCTCCCAAGCAGATAGTGTTTCCAATGGTCTAAAGCCTGCCTGAGAGCGTAGAGTTCTCTCTCGTACGTGGAGGTAGCGACCTTCTCACAGGGCATCCTCGCTGACATGAACTCTACGGGTCTATAGCCATTGTCGTCGTCTTGCTGCAACACGGCGCCTATCCCATACTGACTTGCGTCCGTGGTAACGACAAATGGCAAGGACGGATCTGCAACCTTGAGGACAAGATACTCTATTAACGCGCGCTTTAACTTTTTGAGCGCAGACGTACAGTCTTTATCCCATTGCCAGATTGTCTCTTTCTTCAACAACCTGCGCAAGGGAGCGGCGACAGTGGAGAAGTTCCTCATGAACTTCTTGTAGTAGTTAGCTAAGCCTAGGAACGACCGCAACTCTGTCAACGTGCGGGGCGTCGGCCAATCTCTAATCGCCGCTATCTTGCTGTCCTCTGGCTTGATGCCATCTCCGTCTAATACGTGGCCCAAGTACAAAACTTGTGTCTCGGCCCACTCGCACTTCTTCGCGTTGATCTTGAAGTTAGCCTCTCTAAGCTTATCCAAGACCTGCCTCAGATGACCCTGATGCTCGTGGAGGGTCTTACTAAAAACTAGGATATCGTCTAGATAGACTACTACAAACTTATCTAACCATGGTCTAAACAGGTCATTCATACAACGCTGAAAAGTAGCTGGCGCGTTGGTTAGTCCAAAGGGCATCACTATGAACTCATAGTGCCCGTATCTAGTCCGGAGCGCAGTCTTGTACTGATCATCAGGGTGGACCTCTATTTGATGGTATCCGGACTTTAAGTCTATCTTAAAGAAATACTTACAACCCTGCACCCGATCTAAAAGATCGTCTATCCTGGGCAGCGGCTCAGCATTCTTTACGGTGATCGCATTTAATCCCCTATAGTCTATACACATTCTCAGCTCTCCTTCCTTCTTGGGGACAAACAAAACGGGTGCTCCAAAAGGAAACGAACTGGGCCTGATCCAACCTTTCTCAAGGAGTTCGTCTAACTGCTTGCGAAGCTCCTCTAACTCTCTAGGGGACATCCTGTAGACTGCACCCTTAGGAGTTCTACTGCCAGGCTCTATCTCTATCCTGTGCTCGATGGGTCGCGACATTACTCCTGTCGGCGACTCAGTCAGGTCTTTGAATTCTTCCAGCAGCTTGGCAATTGTTGGATCTGTGGAACTATCCTTTTCCTGGGCCTCGGTGACAGGTCTGACATAAACTACAAAGACCTGGTCTTCTAACTGCTGCTTCCTTACTTATCGCGCGAACGCAGGAGCACTGAGACAGCAATGTGCCAGGGTGTTATCTACACCAGACACATGAAACAAGCGGGCAGTCTTAACCTCGCCTAACGGACTAGGGAGCCTACACTCATGCTCTCTCAAATGAAGTGTGGCCCCTGCTGCCTCTCCCCAATCCATTCCTAACACTATATCGAAAGGAAGGTCATCCTGCACGAGGAGAGTCAAAGAATGGAGGACCTTCTCCACTTTTCCATTCTTCTCTAGGGGAAAGTACGCCTGGACTCCCTCTACGTAGTCCTCAACTCGCATCGTGCGGTTGTCTGCGAGGATACTGACTATGGGGTTTACTAACTTTTGGACTTTTAGTCCTAGCCTCAGCTTCTTCAGCGCCCTACGGCTAATGTAACTACGGGTAGCCCCTGAGTCTATAAGGGCCCCTACTCTACTTCTAAACACCTCTACATCTACCAAAATCAGTTGTCCCTTACTCTCCCTTTTCATTTTGGCCCAGGCTGGCATTCTCTCCTTTAACTCTTCTGCCACACCTGTGAGGGACGTGCCTAAAGAGACGCTAACACAAGCAGTCTCTGGACAGCTACCTAGGCACGGGCCTGCAACCTCTGCCATAGGCTCATGTGGGTTGGGAGTGTCATGTTCGCGCGCGCTCACTTCTCCACATGGCCTAGAAGCAGGGGCAGTTGCAACCCCTACTGGCGGCTGCCTTTTGACTGCTGGGCAGCCCAACGGGCCTGTCTATACTTTGGACAAAATTTAATTACGTGCGCCGGGTCACCACAGAATACGCACTGACCCAGGTTGACGCGTTCCTGCCATAATCGCTGGTCCAAGCCCAAGTCTTCCCAGGGCCTGCCCTGCGGCAAGCCTGGGTGCCATCCTCCTTAAGGTGCCCTTCCACCTCCTCGCTGCGGGGACCGGTTACCCTGGCGATTTAACGGGGGACCTCGACCCCTACCTCCCGCTTGGCGGTTTCCCTGTCCGCCAACCCCCTGTGCGCCCGGTCCTCGGCCTCCCATGGCCTGGCCCCTTTGGCCCGACCTTGACCCCTACCTCCCGCTTGGCGGTTTCCCTGTCCGCCAACCCCCTGTGCGCCCGGTCCTCGGCCTCCCATGGCCTGGCCCCTTTGGCCCTGGCCTCCTCCTCTACCTTGCGGCCTCCCTCCGGCCGCGACAGCAGCGTAAGACCTCCCCTGCCCTACACTACTGTACTCCTCCCCTAGGCCCCACTCAATCTGATCATATGGGACCT